ATTTATTTTATAAACGTTGCTCTTTCTTAAAATGAACAATTTCTTTACTAATTCAAAAACATCATTTGAAATTCGAATGTTGATTTCTTATTATGGTTCATTTAATGTTTTAATTTCAAGTATTTTTAATTATTAATTTCAAACTATATAATTATTGACTAATTTTTTTTATTTTTATTAAAAATACTTTACATTAATTTTCGAAATTATTTTTGTATATATTCTATATACTATATACTAATGATAAATTTAAAAAAAAAATATATTAAATTTCCGATAATTTATATCCAATGGTAAATAATAAAAAACATCTTTAATATGTTTGCCGAATTAAATTATATATTATTAAGAAAATAATGAATTTTCATTCACTTATTCTCCTGCAATTAAATCACAATTAAATTATTGACTATTAAGCAATTAAATTTTTCATTTACCTTTGAATATCTTTTCATTTTCCGTAAATGTCTTTTCGATAATGATCACAGAAATTACTCAATGTTCAAATGCTTTTATATGTTTAAATAAAACTCAGAAAAATCAATTTCTGCGCTTTCATTTATTTGCTTATTAAATGAAGACTGAAACAACTCCCAAGAAGGCAAAACTTGTTCTTAATTAAAATCAATATGAATACCTGATCGAATTACAATTACAAATTACATTAAGTAAACCAGTAACGCATGTATTCGCAATTGTTTAAGAAATTTATGTTTGGAATGATGATACTATGAATTAATTAAATGAATTTTATGTAATAAACGTAATATAATAAATCAAATATTTTGCTTTAATAATTAAATGTTTGTTTATGTTAAATATTTTATGAATTAATTCAACATGTAGTCTATTAAAAAATATAAATAAAGATTATTTAAATTTAAATATTTAATTTTTTCTCGAATAATTGTTTAATGTATCTTTTTCTACTATGAATAGAAATTAATATTTTAATAATAGAGAATTAATAGAAAATTTTTTTTATACAAGTTAGAAATATTCTAAATTATTACAACTTTTGAAAATAAGTACTTAACTTTCTTATGTTGATATTTAGTAATATTTTTTTTTTAATTATTTAAATTAAATTTAAATTAAATTTAACCTTTAATAAATTTTTTTTATTAATAATTAAATATAAGATTTCTCTTATATTTTCATATGTATTTATAATTTTTCACTAATATAATAAAATTGACTATAAGCAAAAATTATTAAATAAATTTTTAAAAAACAATTTCTCAATTTTCTGTTTCTTTAATTTAAAATCTTTTCTAAGTCAAATTTTCATCATATTCTTGTTAAAAAATAATATCATCAGAGTCATTATTTCCGTTTTTAATTTTTAATTTTCTTCTATATAAACATCTACATACTATCTATATATATCTTTTTAATCTTATTATTGAAACTAATTAATTCACAAAAAAAAATAAAAATAAAAATTGCATGAAAATTATATTAAAGATAGATTTTTTGTCATAATATATGACAAATCATTATACTTGCAAATCAATATAAAAGGCAAAAAATTTGAAATAAAAGTGACTAACAAATAATTTGATTTAAATACTGAAATAATAAATTAGATGATCAAATAGAATTATAAGAATGGAATTAAAATCTAATCTTAATCTTTTTTCTGAATTTTTTTCATGATGATAAAAAAATATGTAATGTGTAAAATCACAAGTATCAGCTATAAATATAAATATATCAAATATTATTAATATTGTTCAAAACTTACATAAACAATTAAAATTACGGTATTTTTTTTTCGTCATTAATTATATATGTTTACATTTTTTATATTTTATTTATCTTTTAAAATTTATGTTTTTTCTTCCACATTTTATTTTTATTAATTCAATGTTACATGATATTCATTTATTTTTGCTTAAAATCTATAGAAATTCTTTTTCTTTTTGAGATTTTTAAGTTTAAGTTTATTTTTAGTATTTTTCTCTCTTTAAATTAATTTTCTATTAATCTATTCTCTTAAATATTTTTTCAAAAAATTTATATTTATTATATAACTCAATAAAATATAAAAGTGATTCAAATAATGTAATAATGTACGTTCCTATTTTTTTTTAAATTAGATTTTTGAATAAAAAATTCAATAACTTTTCTCATATTTTTTTCTATGAAAAAAGTTATTTTACAATATGTTATTATTTGACAATTATTCGAATTAAAAAGAATGAATATTAGATTATTTAGCAATTTAAAAAAAAATATATAATTTAAAGTTTTATTATATCATATAATGGGTATTAAAGAAAAAACACATAAAAATTTTTTTGTCTTTTTTTTTTTAAGTAATATTTAAATAATCAAGCATAAATATCACCCTCTATAATATAAATATGCTTTTTATATATAAAAAACGATTTTCAGCATTGCCCATATATACTTTTACAAGTTGTTGCAATATTTAAGAATTTCAAATAAGTTTTCTTTTCTACACGAATAAATATATACATTTGTTTTACATTTTCAATGGAAGTTTAATTAGAATATCCAGGAATGATTACAAAATTAACAGTTAAATAATAATGTATTATATATAGTCATGTATTATTTTTGCGATAAAAAGATAAATTCTTTGTCGTAAGAATCCATATTTTATGTGAATGAGAATGATTCGAGACTTATATTGCAATAAATTAAATTAAATCGTAACAGATTTTGGAAAGAACAATTTGTATGTTTTTTATATGTTTTTTTTCTTTAATAATATTTATTTTAACAATTAAAATAATGTTTACATTATACATTAAAGCGAACAAACAAAAAATTTTCATATTCTTGATAATAAATAAATAATACTTGTTGAACGAAGAAAAATTATGCACATCTCTCTTAAAGATTAAAAATTATTATGCGAAGACAAAAAATCAATATTAAAGAAATATAAATAATTTTAAATATGAAATCAAAAAATAGAGATTCGTATTATAAAATCAGAAAAAGCAATCATTAAGATATATTTATTTGCAATCAACTTTGTAAATCAATTCTTAGTAATTATTTAATTTTTATTCATAAATTATTTAATTCTTAAATTATAAATTAAACTTCAAATTTTTAAATTATTATATAATTTCTAATTAAATATAGAATATATTATATTTATAACTAAATTAAATTTTCTTATTTTACTCCAAATTAAATTTGAAAGTTATAGATATATATATATAACTTTTTTTAAATTTTCATTCTGTTAAAAAATCTTCAACTTCTTTTCACAATCATCAAATCCTTTTCATCGTCAATTCATATTATATATTTTATATTCGTTAAACAAATTTTATGTCATGGATTTGTGCAAAAAGTTAATTTCTAACAAAATATGGATTCTCGAGACAAATTAATTTGTCAGATTGTGTACTGATCATGGATATTTATCGTTTTCTCAAAAAACGACTATCAAATATCTCCTTACATGATTTTATAAGATAATTCACAATCATGATGATTTTTCACATCGCCGATTAATATATAATTATAAATTACAATTATATATTTTGTTTAATTGACATTTGCCATATAATGAAACGACTCGGATCCGATTTTTTCATAAATATTTCACGGAAGACTAACGAACGAATCAAAGCCGAATCATTTTATTCTATCTAACAATAAGATTGATCATTAAACTGTTGCTAATATCTAGGATCGTGGAATGATTAATTTTTATTCATGTAAAATCATAAATGCAAGTTGTTAAAATAATATGTATATGATGAAATACTTGGCAAGATTTAAAATTTTTTTGAAAACTTATTTTTGACTATTGAATGAAAATTATGCTTCTAAAATATTATATAGATTATTAATAAAATTGTACATGTAGAATATTATTTAGAGCGTTTACATTATTTTTTAAATGTCATGTTTTAAATACATGTTGTGCGTGATTTTTAGAAACACTGCTAAAAGTGATCCTTGAGAATAATTATTAATAATTTTCAATATTCATTCTAGAATTATCAAATACAATTCTAAGAATATAATAAATGTATTACTTGGCAATATATATTTTATAATTTTATAATTAGAAAAATTTAAATTTTTAAGATCATTTGAATTTTAATATTATTCAATTCTCATGAAAATAATTTTCTATTTCTGTATATGAGAGTAAGTATTCTTGAGAAATAATTAAGAATTGTATTTCTAAATTCAAATATACAAATCTTATAGTTTTTAAAAAACTATACTTGATTTTAAGAATACTTGATTATTACAAATAATAATTTTTATTAAATTATTTCGATTCTTGAAAATATATCGATTATTGTATTAAATAACGAATCTTATGATATAAATTAATATATAACCAATTGTATTTCTCAAATGACATATATTATGTATAGAATACACACATGTTTATAATATAGATACTATATTATTCATAATTATTCATAAATATATTATTTATAATAATAATAATATACAAATAGAAAGTATCATCGTCCAATCAAGAACTATCTATTTAATTATTGCATGATAAAATAGAATGTTACATAATAAATTTATCAAGGAAGTTATAATCATTAAAATCATAAAGTTTAATAATTATTTTCATTGATTTTGAATGAGAATGTTATCTCTTAATGGTTTGATAATTTCCTTTAAAAAAATTTATTTATTTAAAAATATAATATAGAATTTTTTTCTTTAGAAAATAAAATTGTCAAAAATATGAAACCAAAAAGTATCAATTAAGAAATTTATATAAAAATTTATATTATAGCGAAAAAACGTATCAATTAAAACACATATTTTTTGCATTATTATTAATAATTAATATTATAAATATATTATTTTTATTATATTTAACATTTAATATGTATATAAAATATAACAAAATATTTTATATGTAACATTTTAATCAGGATTGTTACCAGAAAAATAAGAAATATTTATTAATATTTTATTATTAATTAATAATGGATTTCAAAAATAGAAGAAAAAGGATATTTTATTGTATCTATTGTTTGGATAAGTTTTTACTCCTTCTAGAAGTATAACACAAATAAAATATTCTGCTAAGTTCATTAATACTATTACTCTTTCTAAATCTTTCAATAGTCAAATTTTACTTGGCAATCCTGATTTTAATATATTTTATCGATCCTACGATCCCATGATATCTCACGAAAGATCCTAAACTTTAATAATTGTGGAATAATAATTATTTTAATAATTAGGAATCAATATTTAGCGCGTATATTTTTCCGTGTACCTATAACAAGTTGATCAATGATTATACTATATAATTCCTTTAATAGCTTTGGTTACGATAAATCTACGTTACTCAAAATAAATACATTACCATCACATTCAGTATAACGTAGAATTAATAAAATTAATCAATTAATTACCATATACCCAATTCTCCGGATTAATCAATCCAGAAAAAAAATGAAAAGATCGTGACATTTCGAATAACTGCATCGAAAGATCACGAATTTAATTTAAATTCTCAAGTGAAAAGTCGATTACCTGCATAAAAAATTTTTTATTTCTCTTATTCATTTTTTTCTTTTGATTTTTTTTATCTTTCCTTTTTTTCATAAAGATTTCAATGAAAATAAAAAATCATCTTACCGTAAATCATTCGAATCAAATCGTTTTGTGTTTATTTTGTTTAGTTTAATAAGTTTTAACAGATAATCAAAATTATATTAATCAGATTATCAACCAAGCAATCGACCCTTCACGGAGATAACATAATAACAAATTGCTAATAATTTTTATAATAAACAATAATTGACGTAATGAATGATTAATTGTTTTCCAATTAGTGATTATCCGTGCACTATCGACCAGTCATTTCTGCTACTTATCAAGCGATCGATTAATCGCCTTTGTTGTAAATATTGACTTCCTGGATTTCCTCTGGTTTCATATCTATATCGCCCCAACCCCATTTCATATCCTCGTGATTGTGATGATAAATAGCTTCGTTTTTATCATATCTAGAAATTAAAATTTTAAATATGAATATTCTATAAATAATAAAATTCATTTTATAAATATTGACAAAATAAGCAATTTATTTGATCAAATAAATGAATAATTGTTTCCTATTTTTTAATTTTAGATATTTAAAATGTTTATTTTTTTATATTTTTTTCAACTCTTATTTCCATATTTATATTCCTTCTAATTCTAGATTTCCATGTTTTTTTTCAATAAACAATGAAGGATTTTTCATAGTTTCTGCAACCATACGTATTTTAAAAGATATATTACAAAAATCAATAAAAATCTTTCGTCAAATTAATATATCTTTACTTATTGATTTAATGTATATTAATAGTAATATTATTATATCGATACCTTGATCCATCTCCAGTTCTAGCGGCTCGTTTTTTAATCACTTCGACAGGAACAGTTTTCATGTCGTATGCCAATCCCAATCGAGCACAAAAATCAATGAATGCAGTGGAAAAGTTAGTGTTGTAATTGCCAAATTCACCGGCTTTGTAATCCCATGGAAATACATGATGGTAATTATGCCATCCCTCACCACATCCAAGTATAGATACAGTTAGATTTTCCGTTGGGCCAATATTTCTGAAAATTTACATGAAATTTATGAAATTCTATTTTTTATTTAATGAATTTTTTCTAAAAATTATTTATATGAAACTATGTGTCTTTTTAAAAAAATTGAAAATAAAAAATTAATTTATAATAATTTCAATTATTATAATTTTAATTATAATAAAATATAATATTAAATTAAAATTTATATTTATATCCTCTTTCTTCTTTTAATGCATTATACTATAATTTTTTAAAAAAATTGTAAACAATAAACAAAATATTTTATATTTATTTATTGAAAATTAGAAAATACAATTATTTATGATTATAATTTATTATAATTTCTAAAGAAAATAAAAAACAACAAAGAAACGACATTTTTGTAATTTTATAAAATGCAATTTAATATTATAATTTAATATTAATATTTATAACTTTTAACGGAAATAAAGAATAAAAAAGTCGTCTCAATTTAATATCATTAAAAAAAAAAAAAGAAAATTCAACTGCAATCTCTAAAAAAATTGGAAACAATGAAAAGTTATTTTTATATATCATAAAAAGTAATTTTTATATATCAAATAAATTTAAAATACATTATATTATAGTATAACATTGCAACTTTGAAAAAAAATTATGAACAATAAAGCATGTATGTAACTATTATTTTAATTAAAAAAATAAATATTATGATATAATTGTATATTTCTAAAAAAATTTAAATAAACTAATTTCTTACTTATCATAAGGTCTCATGCCCCACATATGAGCAGCAGAATTCACCAACCACGTTGCGTTCAAGGAAAAAACATATCTTGCTAGATTGCTATACCAAGCATTAATAAATTTTTCATTCCAGAAATAATAAGGTATCCACACAGGGACCACAAAGCATAACAGTGGCATTAATACGATATACAATCTAAAAAACATTAAAGAGAAAATTTGTATTGAAAGGGATAAACAGCTTTCATTCAGGTTATTGTCATATGAGCAACATTCAATTCAGAAAATATTTTGTTATATAATATTCACGGTTGTTTGTATTCTTTAATCATTGCTAACTTACGAACTTAATAAATCTTGTTTTTTTATAATTTAATGTAATTTATATTTATATCAATATCAATATTGATTATTATTAAAATAAATATTTATACAAAATAAATAATATATAATAATCAAATATTATTAAAATAATATTAAATAATCAAAATAAATATTTACCCAATTTATTTTATTTTATATTTTAACTTATATTTTAAATTTATATTTATATTTTTTATTTTAGATAATTAAAATTAGATATTTAAAAATTAAATTATTTTTATATTTATTATTTGTGATTTCATTAAAGAAAATCATTAAAGAAAATATAAAGATATGGAATTTTTATTGCAAAATTATAGAATAAATTTATTTATAATTTTCATTAGATTTTTTTAAGTACTTTTACTTCAAATACAAAATACAATATTAATATAATTTTTTTCACAAAAATTTTAATCAATTTTATAAATAAACTTAATTTAAGTTAGCAAAGTTTTCTGTTATACATTTCATTTGAAATTAAATTAAATTCACTTATTAAAAAAAATTAAAATATTGAGATAAAAACCAAAATTACCTTCTTTGCCAGACAACAATAGGATCTTTTTCCAGATCGCTCAAATCAACAGTAGCACCTTTTTTAAATACATCTGGATGCTTTCGGACTAACAACCAACCCATATGCGAGAAGAAAAATCCTCGTTGTGCGTTATGCGGATCTGCATCAGTATCTGTGAATTTATGATGAACTCTATGGTCTCTCACCCATTCGTAAATATGATTCTGCAAAGTAAGATCGAAATTTGAAATATTCTGATTTCTAACAATATTATTTAAAAAAATTTTAAAAGTTTGAAGAGGAAATGATACATAAAAGAATCTGAATACCAACTATTATAATTAATTATTTCGAATTAATTATTTTTTTCGAATTTCAATTGAGAGTTTATGAAGAATTAGTGAAAAATTAAAAAAGAAAAGAGTAATTAATAGATAATATTAATTTTAAAATATAATATATTTTTCGAATTTCAATATTTTTTTGTACAAACATGATAATAAATTACAAAGAGAGAAAAGAAAAAAATAGAAATTTACCTGAAAGGCGGTTGTTTGAAGAAGCATCAGCACGAAACGTAAGGGCCACTTTGCTTTGTAAGCTCTATGTGACCATAATCTATGGGCACCAGCTGTGATGCCCATCGCAATACAAAATGTCACTAAAATTGCTGAAATTATCAATTAATTTATAATATTTTATTTCATTAAAATTTTTTTACAGTTTTCTTAATTTTTCTATTATTTTAACTAAATAATATATAATATATTTGTTCTTATTTTACATTTAGTGTCGCATAATGTGTTAGCAAATCCTTTCATTCTAATAAATTCTATTTCAATTTATTTTAATTTTACCGTTATAGAATGTTTCTCAATTATAGTTTAATTTCTTTTCGATATTATTTATCTTCGTTATAATTTATTCTACATTTTCAATATGTTATTTACTTTATCTGATTTACTTTATTTTGTTTTTTATTAGATGATTTTTGTTAGATTAAATATTTATCTCGAAACATGTATCTATTTCTATGTATATTCTTATTTATTTTTGTTATCATTCTATTTTATTTTGCAATTCTAATTTAATTTATTTAATTAATTAATTCCATTTTCAACTTTATTTTATTTATCTTTTATCGATTTCTATATCTGGATGTTTTTTATATTCAAGAAAAATTGCGCAACATTTTATCAACATTGCAGCTATATAACTTCTTTTGAGATCTGACTCAAAAATAAAAAAATAAAAAAAAAACGTACGGTTTCTTCAGACATAATGAAATTATTGTAAATTAATAAATAATTTGATTAAATTTTTTTCATTAAAATACAATGTATTTAAAAGAACTTGGAATTAAATAATAGTTTTAAAAATATATTTCTTATAAAAGAAAATTACATATTATATAGATTTATTTTTAATAAAATAAAAACAATATTCAATACGGATGATAATGATACATTAATAATAAGGAGTTTAGCAAAAAAACAAGCATATATTATATTTTTATAAGTTTAAAAAAGAGAAAATTGAATAAATTTTATATTTAGGAATGTGATAGAAAATAATATTACTTTTAAATATATTTATTATTTAAAATATGTACGATAATATTGTAGATATAGAATGAATGAAATAACAATATAAACAAAGAAATTGATACATATGTGCTCATTCTTTATTAAAATTCTTAAATAAAAAAAATATTATCGTTACATTCTAAGTATTAATAATATTCTACAATATATAATTTTACAATATAATTTAATAATATTCTATATAATAATAATATAACTATTAATAATAATAAAACTATTGCTCCAAAATTTTGTAATTAAGTGAATTTTTAAAAAATTTGCAATATTCTATCAACAAATTTCTAATTTGTTCTATTTTATTAGTAAAAAAATTAAAGATTAGAATGTTTGCCTATCGTGTAAATCGTAATATGCGTTACGTACGCTTTCATCTCATCAATTTCTATCAACAAGAAAGTGAGTGTGTATTAGAAATTTTTCTCGCTTCTTGATTTTATATTTTTCTTCATTGTGTTTATATTTTTCAAAAATGGAAAATAAAATGCGATGATCAATAGTGAATGTTTCTTTTAAAATCATAATAATAATTCAATAAAAATTTAAGATTTTTTTTATATTGAATAATTTCTATATTATGATTTTTAATTACACGTTCTCATTAATAATTATTATCAATTTCAAAAAGCCAAGAAAGAAAAAAAAAGGAAATATGGGAATATATAATTGTTTGGAAATATTTCATAAATAATAATCAATATATACATAATCAATATGACACGCATTTTAATCTAACAAAATGTTTTTGAATATGTTTTTTTTTGAAATTTTTGTCTGATTTCTCTGATAAATATTAAATGTTTTTTATGGATATTTATTATACTATTTTATGCGAAATAATTTTTTCAATTATACATTATTTCTTAATAAATAGATAATTATTGAATATTATTTCAAATAAATTGCCAATTTTTTTTATATGAATCATCAATTTTTTTTTAATTTTTTAAAATATTCTATGATTCTATAAATATTAATTGTTTTATAATAAATATTTATTACATTATTTTTTTCAATAATTTTTATAGATTGGAAATCGTTATTATAATTTAAGTGATTCATTAATTTTAGAAAAGTAATTTTAGAATAGAAAATTTTTTTTTTAAATCTTTAAAATATTTTTTTAAAAAAATCAAAGTTATATTACACTTTCATGAAATATTACTCAATAATTTTCATAGAATAAATTAAAATATTTATACTTACTCCATAAAATTGTATATGCTTTTGTGCTTCCATTACCCCAAAGATAGAATCCATATAGACCTCCAAGATGAAAATAAATAAACGCAATCACATTTCTCCAAACGATTTTCCATTTATATTTCGATTTGGAACTCAATGACTTCTGAACTAATTTCTGATTATTTTCTTTTTCTATCGTCGATTTTTCTTGATGAACATCCTGTTGTGATGCCTCCAAATATAATGTCGCTGATGAACCGAATAGATTTGGCGCCATTTTGAACAATCTAAAACAGAAATATTCGTTCATATAAAATATTTAATATATATTATATATATTTAATATATATTATATACTATCATTAATTGAAAAATTTAATTTAACTTTCTATTGAGAAATAAAAAGAAAATTTTACATTTCAAGCTATGTAACAAGCTATATATTTTTATTGAAGAATTGAAGACTGATTTGGATAACATTACATGATAAAAATATTACATTACATGATTACATTATAACATAAATATATTATATTTTTGTCATGTAATATAACATAATTAAAAATATGAATAATGAAAAATATATATATGTATAATATATATTATACATATATATTATATTATATATTTAAAATTTTATATATATATATATAATACAAAAACATTACAATTTTCAATTCTATTAAAAATATTTTAGAAATATCAATGCCTCAAAAATCTAACTTGTATTAGATAAGATTGAAATTTTTAATTTTCTACATTTTCCAAAATTTTAATATTTCTAAAATCTTCAAATTTCAAAATTTCAATATTCCTAAGCTTTTCAAATTTCTATATTACTCAAATTTCGACATTCTCAAGATTTTCAAAACTTTATATGTCAATATATTCATTGTGATTCTTTATTATGAATTTTATAAGATAAGATATTAACATTAAAAATCTCATTAATAATTTGTTATCAATTAAACTTAGAAAGTAATTTAAATTCTTTCCTAAAAAAATAGTTTATATAAACATTTAAACTTACAATTAGATAAACCTATATTCAGATAAAATGCATCATTAATGAAGAAGAAATCAATGTATTTGGAACATTGTAAACTTCAGTAAACTTATATATTCAGAAAACTTATATATTTTCTCTGTCAATCTATAAGTAATGTTTCAAATCAATGAAAGGCAATTACAAGAAAGATTGAGCGTATACATGGGAAAATAAAAAATTTAAATCGATTCGATATCGATTACAATATATATTAGAAGATCCTTTAACATTAAATGTTTACAGGTATCGATATATGACATGTATCGTTGGAAACGCTCGCCGTGAAAGGCAACAATTGCTTGCGTTAAAATATCTTCATGATCGGGACCCAGTGACCTAGTAATAAATACTTTCAAAAAATGCAAAATCACTAGTCTCGTTCCACTTGCGACACGTTTTTAAACGCGTGAAAGTTCGCACCGCATTGTGTTCGCCAGATAAAAAAATGTGTGTGTTAGTATTTTCGTTAAATAATATTAGAGACACGTACTATGCATGACAAAGACTTTTATTATTTTCTTTGAAAGTGAAAGTAAAGAATGGGTTGTATTAACATTAAATTTTCTAATGTTTTAAAAGGCATACCATTAATAATATTACCGATATTTATCAATATTGACAATATATCTATGTTCTCTAATGAGATCTACACTTAATTCATAATATTATTCATTATATGCAAATCTTTTAAGAATTGAGTTTGATGATTGTGGAAAAATTAGTAATAAAATTATGTTAATAAATTGAATAAGTTTAAACAAGTTAGAAATGTGTGATAATATTAAAAATTTGTTTTGTTTTTGATATAAGACATATATATTTTAAAAAATATTATTATATTATTAAATATTATTATTCAATGATTATAAGTTTTATCAGTTTATATTCAAGAAAAATTGAATTTCAAAACTAAGGTAAAATAGTTATCGATCCAATTTTTCATTTCATCATGAATTTTGAAATATTATTTTTTCATATCCTATTGTAATAGACAAAATAAAGTACAAGATTTGAAAAATAAAAATAAAACCAACAAAATGATCAATTTAATAATATAATAATTATTAATTTTTGAAAGAAAAAAAAAATTGGCGTAAAATATAAATTTAGAATAATCGTCATTACAATATTGTTATTTACAATTTTTGACAACGTTACGACAATACGTTTGAACAACATTACGATTCGCAGAAGTTAATGAATAACTTAATAATTCTATAAAAAAAAATCTATTTTAAATGAATAAAAGTTTTAATTATAATATTTCAAGATTTATTTTGAGAAAAGTTGAAATTGAAAATTTTTTAATTATACATCGATTTTTACAAATGATTTTTAATTAAATAATTAGCAATATGAAAATAAGTCAAAGTTAAAAAAATTGAATACTTTTTATTTTTTTTATCAAGTACGTATGTATGTGTATAGATGAAAGAATATATTATGAGTGAACATACGAATGTTTATTAAGTTTTAAGATTTAATTTAAATAAATAATAATAATTTATTTTTTTATAAATAGAATAACATGTTACATAATTTAAAAAATACTTTTATTAAAGAAAAAGAAATAAATAAGAAATAAAAGTCTATTAGTTTTTGTTTTAATTGAAATTTTGTAATGAAATGTTTTAATTAAATTTATTATTTTTTTTTAATAAAATTGTTAAAACAAATTATTTGGAAAGTCCCAATATATTAGAAAATAAAATAAAATTATCAAAATGAATAAAACTTGATCTTCATGTATATAAAAATTAAAACCCAAGGATAATCAAAAAGAATGATTTATAACGATCATTTTTATTGTGCAACTTTGTTATCTCACAATTTGTAATGTAATACAATGATAATTATAAATGAATACCGTATTTACATATTCTAAATTTACTTTTTTATTGATTTGTGATTAAAATACAAATAAATTCGACAAACTAAAATAATTCGTGTATTTAAAAATATTTCATAATTATGAAAAAAAATTAAAATGTTTTTACATTCATAATCAATATTATCGCAGTATTTTTAAATCAATATTAAAATAAAATAAATTTAGTAATTTATTTGTATAATTAAATATTTTTATTTAATATTTATTTATAGTTAGATTAATAAATTCTTTAAATTTATTAGATATTTATATCTATTATTATATTAATGAATTTTTTGATTTAACAATTGTAAATTAAATCTTTTATTGCTAATTTAAATATGTGATATATTGCGAAAAATATCGATTTAATATGTTTTCAAGAGAGAGTCAGAACAAACAAACAAATCGACATATAAACTAGTTAGCAGTAAAAGAATTAAATTATCTAATTTAATTAATAGATAAATGATTTACTAATAAATTAAGCAATATTTAATAATTTCTTTTTTGATATTTTCTTTTAATTATTAATAATCAATTGTTTCCATCTTCATATTATGATAGAATACATTTGTCAATTAACTTATAAATTGTACAATTCAATATCAGATTTCTTCATTGATTACTACAATTTTATCTTTTTTATCATGCACAAAATAAGAATGAGAAAAAAATCCGAATAAAAATATCTTTAAAAATACTTATAAAACGAATAAAAAAAATTTTTCTAACAATTTAATATTGAATTTATTGAATTTAACATTGAACTATTGAATCTATCATAGTTAATTTAAAATTAATATTCTAAAATATTAATTTTAAAAAGAAAAAAGAATTTTTTTCTCAAAGTTTCATCTTACTGATCTTATTGATCTTTAGTTATTAAATTATTAAAATAAGTAAAAAAAGATTCATTTACAATACTATATTACTATAATTGTTGATTGAAAAAATGCAACAAATGTAGCAAAAAAAAAACTCTTAAAAATTAAGAAAAAAATTTAGATTAAAAAAAAACTTAAAACTTTTTTAAATATTTCTTTTTCAAATTCTAATTAATTTTTCGACACGATTAGAAATCTAAATTCAATTTGAAAATCTAAATTTATTCATTAATTTTTTGAAAAAAAGATTCAAAAATTTTTTTTTTAAATATTATTTTAAAAAGAAACAATTTCTCTCTTTTCAACTTTTTAATACATTCGATCCAAAGCTCGAAAAACTTAATAGAAAATCCAAAACATCTTATCGATCAATTCTATAAAATAAAAAAAGAAAATAAAATATTAAAAATAAAGAGATTCGAAGAAACCATAAGTTCATGATTGATCACAAATGTAAAAGTTAAAGATCCTGTTCAAAACCAAGTCGCACGGAAGATCGTCTTAGTAAAAGTGCTCCACGATCAAAACGGTACATGCTGCGTAGGTATTCATAAGAGAATATCCACGGAGAAAGGCGGCAAGTGACGAGGAAAGATCAGTAGGATGAGGAGAGGAGAAACGAGAAAGGAAAGAAATGAAGTTTTGTACTCGAAGAACAGGTTCTCCGTAAAGGAGGTCAATGGCGCGTTTGAGGTCATTACCAATTGGTCCCGGAGAATCTCCTCCATCTCTTGCTTTTTCACGTGTCTACTTTGACCAAAATTATCATTTCGTTCTTAACGTCTCGATGATAACATATTACAAGAAAGTACGCTTTCGATGAGAAAGCGAATGGAATCGAGATCATTGTAGATCACGTGCCGTTTAAAACTTGTTATGAGATCTTTTGAGATCTGTAGATTTTGTAGAAGAGATTGCTGATTTTGATATCATTTAACAATATTAAAAAATATATATATATATACCTTATATGGACTTTTAATTTTCATGCTGAGAGCATGATAGGAATTTCAAGAATTCGAAAAAAAGATAGGTATCTACTTTGAAATCCAAGGAAAACTAATTCTCAGTTATAGATTTTTTTTTAATCTTAATATCGAAAAAAATAAAGATTATTTTAAAGATTTTAAAATCTTGGAGAATAAACAAATAAATTATAATTTTATTACTGAGAAATTTATTATAAAATAAAACAATATTTGAAAATAAGATAATTAAATGTAGTAATGATTAAAATCTGTATTGAAATTCAAATATGACATAACAATGGATAGAAGATAAAAATGGAATAAAATATAAACATTAATAATAAATTCATTCGATTTTGATATTAAAAGAAGTTGATTGTATCTTATAAAGAAAAAATGGATATCATAGAATTATCAATAAGTTTGAATTATAAAATGTTACGAATTATTGAGTTATTATATGCAAGAATTTCATTTTTTTAATTAGAGTAATGAATGAATTATAATTAAATGTAT